AACGAAACACGAGTGAACCATGATACGAGTGTCGAACGTCAACTTCGTGAACTCATAGTGCAGAACGAGACTCCATGGTGGAGACAAGTACCTATCGTAGTCCTTAGCGCATAGACCTCAGTCTTAAAATCACGACTCGATTATATGCTCAATTGCATGAATCAATTGTTAAATGGATTATGACTTAATGCGGTCTGCTAAAATGATGTTGCCTCAACTAAGAACTAAAGAATGTGTTTATATGAGTACTTCCTCGGTTTCGCTGCTAGAGAACATTCTGACCCCGAACTCACCTTCTCGTACGAGGGGAAGGACCAAGCAAAGTGCTCGCAGATGGATAATGGTCCGTGGCACCTAACGAGGAAGTCATCGCTCCGATCAGGTCATCAGGGTCCATCCAAATAAGGTTACACTTGTTTTGTTTCACAAAACGATCTAAAAGTTTCGTGGTTAGCAAGTCTTTTTTATGGCGTGGGTTCACCACAATGCATTCGACGTTCTCGGATAGACTAACTGGTCCGTGAATTTGGACCTGTGGAGGAGATATCAACGTGTTATGGTTAATTGATTTTTGAGAGTGCGGTGTGGTGTTGAGAGAAAAATCAAAACACAAATGGAAACAACTTCCAACGTCGAACGTCCAAGATGCTTTCTTTTAGATATAAAACGACGATCAAGGCTTTAAACAAGAGTAACTACTGCTGGGCAGGTGTTACATATGCATTATGTGGAGTGGCGTTTGTTTCAAAAATACTTGATAGACCATAACAATAGAAACAGCAGCAATGTTTACAACCACTATCTACAAGCTCGTTTCACCTCTTTGTAGTGTGAAATGCAATCTGATCGATGAAATGGAACTTTCCCAGTGGCTACGTCTATAATCTAAAAGAAGGGAAGCGAAAGGTATAAATTATTACATGCATATTAAATCGTTCTTATTCACGAGATTTTTATACCATATCGCGAACGAGCGAGTCTTCGAAGGCCGGTTTGTGTTGACAAATTTTGCTGCTTTCTTCCAGTGAAGGTTTGTGTCAACATTCAAATAAACGCGGCGCCAAGTGTGTTCAAGTTCTCGTTTACTGTGCTGTCTTTGGTTCCTTTTATTTAAGGCCATCCCCTACAAGTTTTTTTTTCGTTAAGCGTCGAATGCGTTTCTGGAACCAGAGGCCAGCTGGTACCCCAACATCATTGTCGTGGAGTCCTGGGAACAACAAGAAGTAGGAGGAGGTTGAGGAAGACATGATCGATGTGGTGGTAAAAATCAAACGAAAACATGAAAAGACGGGCGAATCACCAAAACTTCTCTGAATGCGTTGATTTCAACACTGAGCGGAAAAGAAAACGTGGAGACTTCATATGAGACATTATTGCACTTGTTGGACAAATAGTCTTCAATCTCTGGACAGCTACTTCAAT